TACAGGCAGTCCCTGGGTTACGTACAAGATAGGGACTGTAGGTTTGTTCTTAAGTTGAATCTGTATGTAAGTAAGAACTGGTGTCCAGATTCAGCCCTGTTGAAACTGATCAGTTTCAGCAGCGGCTGAATCTGGATGCCAGTTCCGACTTACATACAGATTCAACTTAAGAACAAACCTACAGTCCCTATCTTGTACGTAACCCGGGGACTGCCTGTATTCATTTTGTAGGTAAAACATTAGATTTTCTTTGTGAAGAATAAAATAACACTGGAAGCCATGGGTCTAGTTTGATAATAAAAGCAATGTTTACACTTTAATTTCAACTTTTTATTAGTTTGGCTTTTACACTGTTCATAGCCTTTTACTTCTTACTATGGGTTTATGAAGACATTTTATATATTAGCCTTTACATGTTTAATGATGTTCCACAATAATGGGAATTATTTTTTCATCTTTATTCCAAGTGGTATTTTCCTTTTCCAGAGGTTTTATTGAGTCTAATAGCACTATTCAACGTGAGCAAGAATTGGAGAATTACACTAAGGGTGATAGTGGTTGCAACTGCCCTTATTGAGATCCTTTTCATGAGAATAATTCAGCTCTTATTTTCCTATATGCTCATTTAATTACAAATGTTGGGCTTATTTTTAAAAGTCTATTTTATTGAGTTAGAAAAGGTGGTGGGTGGCTACCTTATTCTTCTATTGGCATTCAAAATTCTTAACACAGAAAGAGTGGAGCCTAATAAAGTAGCCATCACAGTTAATTTAGAAGGGTGTCACTGCCCTTACAATTAGTGTCAATCTTTCTGATAAATAGTTGAATTGAAAGGACTTGATGCAAAGAACTCCTTTTACTGGCATAGTTTATTCACACAACTTAAAAGCAATGCTTTACACTACATGATATTATTTTCAATATTGTCTGACCTCACTCGTTTTATGACATGTAAGTTATTTCAAAATAATTTCCTAGTGTAAACATGCCCTCATGGTGTTCAGATTCACAGTTTGCAAAAGGAACAGAACACTCCATCTTACCAATTATACCTCACATCTCTGCTTCACTTAACACACAGCAGTGAGAGAAGTTTATAGTGAAAACAAGAAAAAGTATATTTAAGTGATAGAGAATTGAGTGGTAACAAGTAGAGGTATGGGAAACAAAGGGCTACATATAAAATATGATTATAGCATGCATTCTGGAGCCTTGACAATGAATAAGACACTATTGTGGCTAATAAAGAATTTCTCTCCAGTGCTTTTAAGCCCGGCAGGCCGCCATCCCTTTTTCAAGAGACAAGCTATGTAGCGAGCTTGCATCCTGGATGAAGCATATTGCATGTTACTTGATATATTAATCTTTTGATCTTATTTACAAACAGGACTTCCTCTGTTGATTGTTTTTATCCTGTGCATCTTCTCTTCTGGATTTTGCTCTCTTATGGCTGGTTTCTGAGTTGATGTACCGTGACTTGCCTTAACTTAAAACATTATTTAGACATATAACTTCCTAAATACTATCCTTTAATAGAATCATAGGATACTAGAACTGGAAGGGATCTCAAAAGATCATCACGTCCAGTCCCCTGCCCTCACGGCAGGACCAAGCACCATATAGATTATTTCTGATAGATGTCTATCCAACCTGCTCTTAAATATCTCCAGTGATGGAGATTCCACAACCTCCATGGGCAATTTATTCCAGTGTATAACTGCCCTGACAAAGGGTGATAAAAATATTGAATAGAACCGGTCCCAAAACAGACCCCTGCAGAACCTCACTTGTTATGCCCTTCCAGCATGACTGTGAACCATTAATAACTAATTTCTGAGAAGGGTTATCCAGCCAGTTATGCACCCACCTTATAGTAGCCTCATCTAGGTTTTATTTCCCTAGTTTATTGATAAGAAGGCCATGAGAGACCGTATCAAACG